TATCTAAATAATGGACTTCTTTTTAGTCCCAGTTATTATTTACAAAATTCAGTACAAAACGATTTTTTCCTAGCACTTTACAATTTAAGAGGACACACAGTTAAATTGTCTAGTAAATCGTTTCTAAGTCTGCAATCAATTTATGACACTTACCTAGAAGAACCAGGAAGCGTAACAAGAAAATGGCTAACTGACGACTGTATTGACTGTGCGGCATTTTCGTTATTAAAAGGAAATTCGAATATAACTTATATAGATACAATTTCTTCTCAAATAATTTTTTCCAAGGCCTACGAAGACCTTACATGGAAGTCTAACCTGTTAAAACCTCTCTCAGATATTGTGATTATTTCTGTTCATCAGAATAATCACTGGTACCTGTTAGCAATAGATATGGAAATAAAAACTGGGTATATTCTGAACTCAGCACCGATCTCAAAAATCTCAGTTTCTTATATTGAGGAAATAATATCCAATTTCTTCCGATTCCGCAACAAACGCATGATGGGAATTGATTTAAATATTGATACATGGAGAGTTCAGGAAATATAAAACATTCCAAAACAAAAAGACAGCTACAATTGTGGAGTGTTCGTATTATATTTCATTGATACCATAACTAACTCTGAAAATAAATTATTACTTATAAGTTTCAATAACGCTTTTGACCCGGAAATGTACAGGATTCAGCTACAACAACTCTTGCTGCTAAAGTCCGAAGATGTAAAATTATATTGTCTGATGTGTGGATTTCAAACTGCGATTCAAAAATCAGTTCTATGCACTTCATGTGACAGATTGATCCACATAAAATAATGTTAATAAAGAACCACTTTCTTCAACTCATCTTAAATGCAAATTATGCAAGGACATTTCACCACTGAAAGGATATGCAGTAGCAGGGCCGGTTCGAGGCTTTCGTGGGTGCCTACCTCGTACGTACATGTTGGCGCCCACGAAGAAAAATGGCTTTGAGGGAATGTAAAATTAACTTGAGTCACAGTGTAATAAGATAGAATTTGTCATATTATTCATTTTGCTAAAAACAAATGAGATTAGTTTTGTTTTGAAGAAGAGGTTGTTATACGCATTTTTAAATAATTTTATACTTTAAAAAGCAGAATAAATGTGTTTTAGCGTTCCTTTCCGTTCCGTTTCCGATTCAAAACAATTATTCCATTCAAATTGGCAGAAAATATATATATATACAATGTAAAAATGTGAAATAAACGTAGTTATAGCCACATCTAATTATTACTATTCATCGGCATACACCCTTTGTTTATATTTATTTAAACACAGCCCGTTCAACAGGCGGCGTTCTACCATCACACTATTGCAGGACAGTATAAGGTTACAATTAGTTTACAGTGAAATACAAGAGTACATACGAACAAAAAAGAAAGAAAAAACAAAAGGTAACTCTATAGTCATAAGATTCTTTATCCTTTCTTTACATACTCTTTTCATCCTTCCATTCTTCTTCCTGATATCTTCCTTTTCCGCATCACTTATTAGAATCGTTTAAACTTAACTGAAAAATACCACAACATGATACCAATGTTGACAAAAAATATCATAACAACTTTTTTTTACTACCGTCTGTAAAATTTCTAATTACACATCTTTCTAGCGTGCGAAAAGCGTCACTTTATCACGTCAGTTTCGTTTCCCACGGATCCGAGCCACTTCGTACATTTCCGGTAATTTACCGCACGGGTTTGGGAGCAATCGGATGTTTTCTGAGGTATTTCTCACGCTTTGAATTTTTACGTTTGCCAATTCTGACGGTCACGTCAGTGAACGTATTCGATCGTAGAAAAATATAGTATGCAACACGTTCGGTAAACTTTTTAAATCACTCGTTTATTAAACTCGTGAGTCATATGTTGTTTACCGCACTTGTTGTATAATATACTACTTAGTGGTAAAAAAACGGCAATTTTTTTCTTCTTATACTAACTAATACAAAATGGCGAGTCTATAAGGCTATTAACCAGATAATTTACAAAAGGGATATCTTTCCGACCATTTTAAGGGGGTTGAGTAATACATTATTTTGAAGCTCTCTTAAGTTGCTCTTCAATGGTCTAATTCAATATCTGGGACAACGTCAGGTTTTTTTGAGATTCCGAAATAAATAAAACGCGTATTAGGTTATTTCATTATTTGGGGTAGTTTTACACCTTCCCGACCGCTTCAAGATGGTTGAGTAGTACATCATTTTGAAGCTCTCGTAAGTCGCTCTTTAATGGTCTACTTCGATATCTGGGACAACGTCAGGTTTTTTTGAGATTCCGAAATAAATAAAACGCATATTTGGTTATTTCATTATTGGGGATAGTTTTATATCTTCCCGACCGCTTCAAGGTGGTTGAGTAATACATCGTTCTGAAGCTCTATTAAGTGGCTCTTCAATGGTCCATTTCAATATCTGGCCAATGTCAGGTTGATTTGAGATTCCGAAATAAATAAAACGCATATTTGGTTATTTCATTATTGGGGGTAGTTTTATATCTTCCCGACGGCTTCAAGGTGGTTGAGTAGTACACCATTTTGAAGCTCTATTAAGTGGCTCTTCAATGGTTTTATTCAATATCTGGGACAACGTCAGGTTTTTTTGAGATTCCGAAATAAATAAAACGCATATTTGGATATTTCATTATTGGGGGTAGTTTTACACCTTCCCGACGGTTTCAAGGTGATTGAGTAGCACATCATTGTGAAGCTCTCCTAAATAGCTCTTCAATGGTCTAATTCAATATCTGGGACAACGTCAGGTTTTTTTGAGATTCCGAAATAAATAAAACGCATATTTGGATATTTCATTATTGGGGGTAGTTTTACACCTTCCCGACGGTTTCAAGGTGATTGAGTAGTACATCATTTTGAAGCTCTCCTAAATAGCTCTTCAATGGTCTAATTCAATATCTGGGACAACGTCAGGTTTTTTTGAGATTCCGAAATAAATAAAACGCATATTTGGTTATTTCGTTATTGGGGGTAGTTTTATATCGTCCCGACCGCTTCAGGGTGGTTGAGTAGTACATCATTTTGAAGCTCTCCTAAGTGGCTCTCCAATGGTCTAATTCAATATCTGGGACAATGTCAGGTTTTTTTGAGATGACGAAATAAATAAAACGCGTATTAGGTTATTTCATTATTGGGGGTAGTTTTATATCTTCCCGAATGCTTCAAGGTAGTTGAGTAGTACATCATTTTGAAGCTCTCCTAAGTGGCTCTTTAATGGTCTTATTCAATATCTAGGACAACATCAGGTTTTTTTGAGATTCCGAAATAAATAAAACGCATATTTGTTTATTTCATTATTGGGGGTAGTTTTATACCTTACCGAATGCTTCAAGGTGGTTGAGTAGTACATCATTTTGAAGCTCTCATAAGTAGCTCTTCAATAGTCTAATTCAATATTTGGGACGTCAGATTTTTTTGAGATTGCGAAATAAATATACCTACTTATTTGGGGTGGTGCGAGCGGAAAGGGGTTATTTCCTGTATAGCAACATTGAACATGGTTTTTGGGAGTTCTCTTACAATACTTCCTTGCTTACTTTCCCGGAAATTCCACGGGAATACGTTTTTTTTTTAAAATTAAGCTAAATAACGAACTGGTCCACTGTAATATTCGCAAATCCGAATCCAAATCCAAATCTAACTTCAGCCACATCTTGCAAACACTGACGCCGGCAGCCAGACATCAATGTCGAACGTTCAGTTGAAAATCGAGGAGCGCATTGTATTTATGCTACTTCCATATTTTCATTTATAGGCCCTACATAACAGTTTTGCATTGGCACTTTTTTCAAAAAATAGTTATAATAAAACTACAATAGTATTTTGTATGATTTTTATTTGTATTTATATTTGTACGTAGTGTGTATACTAATTTTAAAATTTTATTTATAATAATTGAAAAGTATCAGATCTTTGCGACCCCCTTTCAGTAGTCTGGGGGTCGCGACCCACAGTTTAAGAAGCCCTGGTCTAGTCAATGTGGAAAATAAACAAACACCTTTAATCTTTATTTTACTGATTTTGCATAATGCCATAATTGGTCAATTTGCATTTGATTTTGTATAGGGGGGCCGTTTATCTTGGGACACCACCATATCTCCGAAACTATAGGGGATTAATTTATTTTCATGTTGTATATACAGGGTGTTTAATTTTTAGTAAGCGAATATCAACTTTCTTATTTTAAATGCAATACTTCGTATATTATTTAATTTTTGAATTCTATATAAAATTCTAGACATATTTTTTGTATAATGTCCTATACCTAAATCAAACCGTTTGCAAGATGTAAAATATCTGCCAGTTTCTTAATTCCATTTATTATTTATTGTTTTGGTTAGTTGCAAACAATAAACGCTTCGGAATGAAGAAACTGGCAGATATTTTACATCTTGCAAACGTCATTTTTCGCATAAAAAATTAAAAATATCAAAAACAGTATACATAAAATATGTCTAAAATTTTGTAAAGAATTCAAAAATGAAGTAATATTCCAGGTGTTCCATTTAAAATAAAAAAGTTGATATTCGCCCATGAAAAATATATATACACAACATTAAAATAAATTGAAGGTTTGTAATACCCCAATTAACTTTTGGCTCCATCTCCCATAGTTTCTGTGTTAAAGTATGTCCAAGATAAACGGCCCACCCTACACATTAATGGTAACAGTCTCTAACTTGTTTTTTCATAGATGAAAAAATTTATGTAAATGTGCAAGTTCATTTGTAACTATTAAAAATGTATTGTAACATATGGGATATGGCGTAAACGACTATTTATTAATTCAATTTTTTTATAACTAATTTTATTTTAATAAACGTTATCTAATTTGAAGAATGAAGAAACTTTAACAACAATTGCTTTTCCTGTCTCACTGTCTTAAAATTGTTGTTAAGAAAAATATTTAACTATCTTAAAAATAAAGTAAATTGCAAATAAAAAACGTAACAACACTATGGAACGGGACATGTATTGTAAGTCAGATACATCGATTTTTTGGATAGTACATGCAAATCTGTTTACATTTATTTTACTTTTTTTTAACTAAACGCTTTATAAGCGTTGACATACACAGACACTAAAAATACAAGCCTTTTAAACAGTCGTTGTGTTGGTGCGGTGGCCTCCGACTATCCTGCAACAAATGAAACTATTTTAAACATGAATCTTGATCATTCGTGTTTTATCTATATTAAAAAAAAAACGATTTTTCTTCATTTTACTAAAACTGCTAAAAATTTTGATGATTATGCGGTAGAGGCTCAGAATGCATAAAAACATTGTTCACGCTGTTTAATGCTAGTAAATTACGATAATTTAACATTATATTTAATCCTAATGATCAAATAATATTATTACTTTTTTTAACTAAAAACCTTTCATCGTACCACACAAGATATCATTTATAAGAAAAAAACTAAGAAATTAATCGAGATTTTAATGCTTACGCCGACGTCAGTGGTGGAACTAGAAAAATAATTTTCAGTCGAATAAAAGTAATTACATGTATTGTGGGCCACTGCCACTCTGTATTTAAGAAATAAAACGATGGATGTTCCATAAACTTTTTTTATTAAATTCGGCCAAGGAATCACACCTTTAAGGATCAGCATCTATTATGAATCTCCCGCACATATTATAAAGGATGCCTTTTAATGCAACCAGTTTCAGTCAAGTTCTGAAGAAGCCAACAGGATGATTGGCGAAACGTCAGCAATTTCGACTAAGCAAAAATTGACGCAGGAGGAATCGAGAAGTTTTGTAAAAAGTATTACGGTAGCCTGTGGAGTAGTAGAGTAAAATGGCTTTGTTGTTAATTGGTATTTAGACATTTTTCGAAAGGTTTTGGCAGAAGACTGAAATTATCAGAAGAATAGGAAAAATACTATGTGAGTTGTCTCAACTTATAATGGAATGTACAATTAAAGGCAAAGATATGTTCGAGGAACTGGTACAGATGCAGACAGGCTTATTTAAAGCGCTTTGTTTCTATCGTTCGCTAGAAAATGGAACCCAAAGAAGAAGACATTTTCCAAACTTTACTCTTGGGCTTTCTATATTGCTGTTCCCACACCAGGAACCCAACAAAAATATCTTTTTGTAGGCAACATATTCTGAGTGTTAAAACTAAGTCCCTTTTGGGAATCTGATAAAGAGTAGTAGTAGATTGTAAATTATATATTGCCGGTGTTGGAGCCAGTAAATATTTATAGGGAACAATTTTATGGTATTTTTTGGAATAAGAGGAATTTCAGTTTAAGATGCACATGTTTTTTCGCACTCCTATTCAAAAGTCAAAGTTTATGATTTTTACGATCGGCCTTGCGAACACTTGTCTATTAATTTATGCCCGAAGACAAGGGTTCCTCCTAGGGCATGGTTCAAGTGGCTTTTGAAGTAGGTATTGAGTTAAACAAATGTGTTTTACTTTTTAGAAAACTGAATTTTAGGACTTTAGTATCGTTAAGGATTTGGCAGGCATCGAAAGCCAATTTTTTCCCACGGGTTCTTTTTTACGAGGCTTTGCTTCTAGAACATATAACTTATCACTAATTATCTATCTTTGTTATTGTACATACTTTTTTACGTTACTTATTTTTTTACTAATTTGGTGAGTTTACTGAATTAAAGGGTTGTGTGTAAAAATACTGCCTTTTATTTCCACGAATCGACGTGTTGCTGAAACGGGTAGTTTTGGTGACGCGACAGCCGGTATGCAGTCAATATTATTCTCCCCCTTATTGTGAAATTTATGTATACATTATTTTAATGAATAAAATAATTAAGTATTACGACAATACAATGTTATTATTTTCTGAAAATGATATTATCAAAATTAAAATAGTCCCATTCTTTAGTTTGTCGTTCCTTTGTCGAATTTTAAAGTTTAATTGTGTTGTAACTTTTTAATTGGAATCAGATATTTTTTCACGACCTTACCGCTAAGGGTGCCTTAGATGCAAACATATTCTGTCTTTACCTAATTTAATACAATTAAATTTTGATGGGAGCAGCATTAGGTATATTTTGCTCTGCCATTATAATTTTAGGACACGCTATACTCCAGCTCCTCCACATTTGTTTCTTTAGTACGCCCACCAGATTTAGATACATTTTACGGCAATTACGTATAGGGATACAGGCATTCAAAGTTACCGTTTTCCTAAGCATAAAAAAGTTTTACGAAACAATAAACAACAAAGTAATAAGGCATCGAACAGATTCAATTATTACGCCAATGAATGAAATCCATTTCGCTTTTGAGTCGGTGTAAGAAGAAAAATAATGTTGAATATTTCCAACATGACATTTTTAATCGCCCACACAAAACTAGATATAACACATGCCTATCGTATCGAATACAGTCTTTAATTGTTACGTCTTCATGTGGGGGCGAATCTGAACTCAGTATAAAGCATTTTTCTATTTAATTGAAAGGAATTTGTTCTTTAATGTTTGATTTCTGTTATTCATTGCTTATTAAGACGGTTTTGCAGTCATATATTTTTCTTTAGTGGCGAAGTTCTTTGATGGTTTTCGAAAATACAGTTCTTCGATGGTTTTTCCCTTTTCAATGGGGAAAAGTTCGATTTGCTTGCAGTTGGGCCTTAAGGTGTTATTGTCTCTCCTACTTTTTATACTATTATTTTTTTGATATTCTACGGTTCTATGCGATTTATCTTGAGGTATTCATATCTGATACTTTTCAGACACTGACATAAAACTCTAAGCAACATTTACATTTTCAAGATGCTTACTATAATTTTAACTATCAGCTGGGTTCGTGTTTTACAAGCCTCTTATTTCCTTCAGTTTCCTGTTGTCCAGTATGCCAGACACTTTCGGGTTTCAAGAATATGTCAACAAAAAAAGAAAAACTTTAAGAGGAGAATGGATTTCTTGCAAAAATCGATCCCTGAGTACTTGCAAGTTAGTTACCAATAGTGTTCAGAGTTCTTGAGCGTTGAGGCGGGAAGGGGTCCAGAATAATACATGAAAATATAGTATTAGCACGTCAGGAAGTAGCAGAGCTTTCAGTATCTCACATAGTCAAATTTAGATTTAATTTAAATTTAAACTAATGCAATTCGCAAACGTCACTAGTGAAAAAGGGGTAGAAAAAAAAGGACGAAAATTAGCCTATGCTATTTAATCAGGGTTCTCTGAAAGAGGCGCAAGTGACTCACTTCACAACACTTCTAGATGAATTTAGTTTCAAATCCGCATTGAGTACTTATATGTGCAAGAGAGATGACGGAAGAAGCAGAAGAATGCACGTAGGACGTCAAAATCACGAAAGAAAACCTATTGTGGGCGAAACCATAAAAATGATTAGAATTGAAAACGTAAACACGGAGTATCCGATTGAATTTACCTATGAACCTCTGTAAATATTGATGAAATGAGATATTTTGGACTTCCACTACAGTATTCACTTAAAGACAATTGGAAATGATTGTCCCGTTGAAATTTTGTTGAAGTAAATAATAAAGAAATATTCCATTCTATTAACATTTCTTATTGTCTATTTCTATGATCTTCAAAGACAACTCGGAATGATTAAAATATCAGCAATAAACCTACCAATATTTTATAATACAGATAGGCAAATACGCCAAAAAATTAACAAGGGAATTAGAAGAAATCCTAGAAAAGTTATGCTGGAGACAGTATATAATATAGCAATTTCCTTGCATTTAGGTAAACAACGAGATACACAACTCAGCAACTCAGTGCCAATAAAGAAGTAACCATCGCATATAGAACACGTAAACAAAAGTTGTTAGATTTATTACTAATATATAGTTGACTATTAAATTTTTAAGGATAAGTGGAATTGTCAATAAATTGAATGGCTGTAACAATGTTGAGTGGGAGAGACGATATTTAGATTAATGTCGCCTAAAACTAAAAGTATCAACAGAACGGTCAAATTATGGACGCATGCTTAAAATTAAGTAGGGAACAAATTTTACATTAATATTATTATAAAAATGAAACGTACGACGAAGCTGAGAATACCAGGATGGAAACCTTTCTGATAGTTACATAATATATTTATATCCTATAGATATAAAATGAATATTTCGATATAATTTACCCATAAACATACAACCTGCACTTTATTTTAAATTAATCTAATCTTAATAATAAAAAAACAAATATGAAACGTGACGGCGGACAAGTAATAAAATTTAAATCAAATCCGCTTCCATAGACATAATTACAATGGGTGGCTGAGATCCCTTATTCATACAAATTTAATAATAAATATAAGGCGAGGACTTCAAAAACGTAGTTATATTCAGACAGCATCCGTCTCGGCGGGAATAGTTTTATAGTCGCGGAAATGACGACGTAGCAGAGAAAATATTATTAGTTGCTTCATAATTATAATCAAGCGCACAAAAAAGATAGAAAAAATTGACTGGATCAGCAAAAATGCTCTAGGTTAATTTACTATACTTCCACCTGCATAGGTTTTCTATCATTTTCCTGTTTTAATGTAGTTATATCAGATGCGTTTTGCAGTACAAAAATTTCAAAATTAAAAACATTAAATGCAGTTTCAGCCTACTCTTTTAATAATGTTCTGAGGTCTAAGAAAAGCGGACAAATATGGGTTTATGCTTTATTTTACGTTTTAATATTCGAATAGAACATCGTAATCGCGTTTGGAAAATCATTACATCAAGGGGGAGAAAGTAATACCTGAATGCATTCAGGTCGATATTTCTGAATTTATACAAAACACACTCAAAAATACTTTTATAAAATCTACACCAGGGGCCCTTTATTTGAATCACACTAAGCTTGAGTAGGCAGTAAAAGGAATCTTTTGAAAAGGTTTTCTTTGTAGACATTCGAACCTGCACATTTTGCCATTATCTGCAGGAGCATGCTGCTAATTAAATAATATATGTCTTCCATTAGTAAAGCGATCTTACAAATTTAAAACTTTGCTCATTAAAGCGAATGTGCCTATAACACTCTCATGAGTTACTAGCAACGCATATAAACACCCACCCTGGAGAAATAATGCGGAAAGTTTAATTGCGGGCCAAATGCTTGCCCGCTTGTTAGAGCTTGTAGTGTACACGATTGATCTAAGCAAATGACTTCGCATACTTTGATATGGAGATCGTTGATAAAAATTTGCGATAAAGAGAGTTGTAAACGTACTGGAACGCTGCGTTTGGAATCGACACGAAGGAATTATGGAAGTAATATTGCAAAGATTTTTAAAATAGAATTAAAAACCAAAGCCCAAAAAATTCTACTCAAGTTGTTCAACTTATGAATAACAATGAATTAGAAGAAGAAAAAAATATAAGGAAAAAAGTAAACAAGGAATAGATGAAATGTATAAGAATCAGAATTCTTGGATTCTATGAAATTTTTATTAGCTGCAAAGGCTCAAATCTCGAAGCATGATTATCTAGTAGGTTCAGCTATTTTTTCATCTTCGTAATAGTATTGCTAAAAAATCATGTTTTATCCTATTTACAAATCGTCTGGATTCCTCTGGCGCCGGTTGTTGATGAATCGAACTGACGTTTCGCCAATTATCCTGTTGGTTTCTTCAGTTTCAGTTAAGCTCTGAAGAAGTCAAGAGGATTATTGGCGAAACGTCAGCAAGGTCGATTAACATAAACAACCGACTCAGGAAGAACGCAGAAAATTTGTAAAAAGTGTTACAGTAACCTGTGGAAGTTTCTTTGAAACATTTTCTCATCATATTTTTAACTGCTTTGAATTTTACATTCTTAATTTTTCTGCGCCTTTTGTCATTTTGGTTATTTGGTTTTTTCAGATGAATATAGATCACAATTGCAGGAAATATTTGCCGATAAGACACTTTCTTGGTAAAAATAGGTCTATATAAGCAAATAAAGAACCAAGCAACTTGAGTACTTACGCAAATCAATATGGAAATGTAAAAAATCGAATGGAGACATATTAGCAAGTACTTGCCGAAAAAACTATCACAAGTTAGTTAGTATAGTAACGGAGCTATTGTATTTGAAGTACTTAACTGTAAAACATGTTATCCCATTTAACCGTACACAAACATTCCATATCTACTCAATAAGTGACAGTCAGGGAAACTTGTAGGGTATGAAATATAGACCACATTAGCTTGCGCCGATTTTACGAATGCAGAAGTTTTGCCAGATAATTTATAGTTAATAAATTTCATTTATAGAGCCTAGTTTTTTAATTTAAATGCCTGGCTTTCATTGCAATATTTTCGTTTTGATTTTCTGAAACAGACTTATTTATACGAGCAAACAATATTTCAACCTACTAGGTTGGAAAATTGCCTTGCTCACCGTTTGATTGATGGGCAATTGTTCAATGTTGAGCTTAATTAAACTGCCATTTTCAAATTACTTTGGTAAATTTATTTGAGCAGTTTTCCGATTGGCAAAATTTTTGTGAAATTTACTGGGTAGGTGAAGCCGACTCTAAATCGAATTTTAAATACAATTTTTTTATTCATTTGTGTTTGTGATCCGTGGGGTTAATTTAGTTTTTATCCAATTATTGTTTAATACTTTCTGTTTGTAGTGAGTGATAGAAATTTTAGAAGTGCAGAAACAAACATTTGGTGAATCTACTTTACAGGAGAATATTAAATTTGAAAATCTAGAAATTCTATAAGAGTAAATATGAACAAATATTCATTGGAAATAATAATTATTGACTGGGTTCTAAGTGGTTATTGATATTGATATATTAGATATTAATAATAGATTTTCTCTAAACATCGGTCGCTATTGGAAGTTAGAAAAACATTTTATCTACTATTGACGCGCAGTATTGAAAGGGTTAGATTTTTCAGGAAAAGGACATTACGGCTTATTTTAGATAATCTTTTATATTTTTAAAATCTTAAGAGCTGACATTAGCAGCAAAAAAATAACAAATAGATTTCTGTTTTGACTAGAATTAAGAATGTCTAAGTAACAATGCTTTACTATTGACAAGTTGTAAGTGCACAAGCATAATTTACAAGTAAACTGAAACAGTTTAAACTAATTAAAATTATCTTAATATCCTTTTTGTTTAGATTGTATGATTTTTTTATCTATTATATAAGAGGTTTTAGTAGGATTTCTTAAGAGAAATTTTCAATATTTATCTACCCATATAACGCTTTAGAGCACTCCTTTAAAGCATTGTAGAAAAGCGCCATTCCTTGTGCACACATCATAATTTCATATTTTGCAGGGAGTTAAAAATATCGTTATTTGAAACTAAAAGGGAAGATGCCCGCCCAGAACAAATCGATTTTCAACCCTTAGTCAAACAGTTATATACATTACCGAAATAAAAAGCAATTTATACAGAAGAAGGCAGAACGATTAACGACGCATCAATCTGAAAGTGAAAGGTCGAATAAACAAAGTCTTTGGTCATCCGTTAGCTGTCTCCTGTATAGTAGATGGATATTGAGAAATGACAGAGTCGCTAAAGTCGGGCAGAGCAAGTATTGACCTACTTTAAGTTCGCGAAATACATGGAATTACGAGATGTACGAAAAAGCTTCGAAGCCATACGAATGTGAAAAATCAAAGACGTTAACAGTCATAACTAGAATTTTTAGTATATTAAATATGGTTATTTTGCTATAGTAGTAAGTTGAGTATAATTTAGACAGTAATAACTAATCAGCCATAAAATGTTTATAAATTGGCAGGCCATATAAAAAAAATTAAACCTACTGTCGCTCCCGTGTGTTGGGAAGAGATAGCTTTTGAGACTCAATGCGTATGTGAGGATCTCATCAACCACACTTATCGCAATACAACGCCACAATTCTTTACGGCTTCTATGTGGCAGTGATAAACAACAGAAATTATTTAAAATCTTACTTTAATTATCTTTCCATCTTCTCCAAAGAATGGGTATATCTTCAAGCCCAGTGATATATTTGATGATTATACATAATCTGAATCGTTTACCAACTGAGTTCAACATGTTTGAGAGCGTGCAGAAAATTTAATGGATTTGTTCAGATCTACTGATCTACTGATATCGTGGATTGAGCTGGACCACGGTTTTGCCAATATGGACCTTAGATTTTTTATCTTGATGATATATAATTGGTTATTGAGAAAAAAATGATAAATAAATTTATTTACATAGAAAAAATGCTAAGATATTTTCCAAATTTCAAAATTAAATGAAAAACTAATCATAAGCTAATTGCGAAAGATTAATATTACTAGAGACAAATTCGGATGAACGCAAAAAACTAAGTTTAATATCGTTGAAAATCATATGGATATTATTCCAACACTTAATCCGTACTCAAATACATTTACAGCCGAAGTACATAGCGTTTGTTTAGTATACTTCACCGTTCATATTATTCACTTAAAATATAAATTCAGTTTTAGGGAAATTTTTGGATAGAAATATCTGTACTAGTTCTAAAATAAAGTAAATATTAAATTTAATACCTATCTCTGGTGCCGATAAGATTCCCCTACGTGTGCTGTTTTCGGAAAAATTGAAGTTTCCAGCTTTTGGTTTTGTTTCATATATTTAATTTTGCGATTTCAACTTTATACTTCACAGTACAACGAAATATCAGATTTTATTAGAGAACTATTTGGTTACGTTTGATGAGAGTGCTACTCGAGATCTCAATGGCCTCCACACATTTTTAACAATTACATTAAAAAAATAAATTTATGAATTTATAAATGAATACCAAAATAATGGGAAACCAGAACATTTTCATAAACATGAGCATGTTACTGTAGATACGTATGTGTCTAATCTAGGACGCACTCACAAACTAATGAATGTCTGATAGCAATAAATATTTGACAGTAACCGTTAAAACGCTTTTGAATTTTACCCATAAATATGGTAGCGTTATTAAGCATAGAACAGAAAATAGTCGTTTCGATTGTGGGAGAAAATTGTAAAAGCCATAGAGAACCCGTAATTATTTTTAGACATCCCAATTAAAATGTTACGAAAATAATGAATAAATCCAAGAATACTGAAAGTATTAGGAAGATATTTCATGTAAAACGAAGACAATTGGTTGCCGAAGATAATACGCAGTTTGAAGTAATGCTGTCTTTTGTTATTCAAATTAGGAACAATATTATATAAGCATAACACCTATTTTTGCAATGTAAATTATTATTTGATATTGTCAAACTGAAAGGTGCTTCACTCCTCAAAAAAATTAGAACTTTATGAGAAATAATTTCTTTTCCTATAATGAATAATTGAATAATAGAGAACTTTCCTATATGATACACAATACGATACCTAAAACAATACAAAATCACTTGGCATTTTAATGCAGCTATCAATATTTACATACCTTAACTGAGATTCCCAGTAAAATGACCTAAGTGGGGCTGCTGGATACTGACAACGGATTTATCAACGGATATCTTACAAATGTATAAAAGAATCTAACACAAAAAAGTGCAAAACGTGTTTCATGAATTTGATTCATTTGACAGAGCTGAAACTATAGCACACAACATTAAAAACACAATTACTTACGCAGATTGCGTGTCCGATATCGTTGACGTGGACCATTTATTAAATATTTTACTCTTAAAGAGCACTCCAAAGGTAACCCTGAACATACGGTTCATGCAACAGTATAGCACGAAGTTGATACAACCATTGAGAAGTGCCAAAATATCCATAACTTCGCCGTAGTGCTGGTAGCACGTCAAAAATAATTCTTTCCCTCTCAAACCAATCACCAAGGCAAATAACCCTTGCGGAAGTTCGGTTAGCAAAAAAAGAAATAAAACGGCAATCAGCATCTTCGTAGTACGGTCAGCTCGCCGTTCAACTTTGGACGTTCTTACATTGTCTTTGCTGCAGGATATTAGGAGCTTATTGTCGTACCCTTTTAGTATACCTCTTCGTTTTTTGGCTCTGAACAGAGTCCTGATTAGCCATATACTTATGACAATCAAAATAAGACACGGAAGCAATTTCATAACTATTGCCAAATACCAGAAATTGATGGTCAATAGCGTTTTATCCTCGTTCACAAGATCACTCAGCACAACGTGATACAAACTATAGTTAACGTTATTTTCCAGTACAATGGCGGTATTTATTTTCAATGTTGGGTAGTACGGTGCGCACAAGAAAAAGGGCAATGTAAAGCATGTAGTTATGGTTGCTGTACAGCGCTGATGTGAGCATAATACGTGGTTCTTTTCCATGTACCTGAAACGAATATGACAATAGATTAATGGTGAAAGTAATGTCCAATAAATTAGTTCCGACAGTAAATTAATCATGTTAATTGAAGTATAAAGGTGCGATTTCGGTGGTACTGCTCGAGGCGCGCGACTAAAGACACACAGTTTTAGACAGCCGTTGAGTGCGGATTACGACGATTTGATTGCATTAATTTTATTAGGAGAGGAAGATGAAGAAGAATTTTACCAAATGTTATCTAGAAAAAGGTGTAAACAAGATGAAATGTTTAAAAGGCTGAAGGTTATTTTCATTTATTAATAAATAATCATCTAAAAGCAGATGAAAAAAAGTTTAGGGAATTTTTCCGATTGAATCCTGATCAATTCCAATTTGTTTTGTCACTGTTACAATCCACGACTCTGACATTAAGGTAAGAAAAATAATTCTGCAAGTAATTTTTTTATTTTTCAAAAATAAACTAAAAAATACAAATGCTTATGACCGGCATGGTCAGTACATAATTGAGTTTCAATTTCTAAATCGCTAATTAATATTAATATATCAATCTTGGCTTTATTTATAATTTAACGATAGTGAACTCCGCCAATGCCGGTCCTAAGCCCGGATGAAAAAGGAGGAAGGTTGTCGGGCCAGGCCAGCTCCCTACCCGACGTAAAAAGACATTATGGCTCACAGAACCGATACTCTGCCTCGGAATAGGACTGACTCACGGATAACGACACACGCAAGAAAACGGATAACGGCATGGAATAAAAAATATATTGTGCGATTTGCCACCTGGAACATAAAATCATTTAACAACAAAGATCAAGAAACCCTGAAGGAACTAAAAGATAATAACATCGACATATGTGCCCTACAAGAGACCAAAAAGAAAGGTAAAGGTCAAATGCATTTTAATGATTACCTAGTGATTTACAGTGGAGTGGAAAAGGAAACAAGGGCAAAAGAAGGAGTAGCAATTGCAGTATCTAAGAAGTTCCAAAACAATATACAAGAATGCAATTACGTATCTTCACGAATCCTGGTTGTAAAAATGAAAGGAGAGGACCAAAGATTGAACATTGTGTCAGTGTACTCACCTGAAGATAACAAACCAAAGCAAGAAAGAGGATCCTTTTATGACCAACTCCAAAATACAATTCAGTCACTGCCCAATGACCAACAAATAATAATTCTTGGTGATTTTAACGCCCGTATCGGAAATGAAACAATACCTGGAATCAAGCAGAGATTTAACGAAAACGTGTTAAATGATAACGGAGAACTTATGATCCATCTATGCACGCTTAATTAGCTGCGAATCAACAACACATTTTTTGACCACAAAGATCAATATAAATTCACATTCAGCAACACTAGAGGCCACAGGTCTACAATTGACTATATTGTTACCAACAGACACATCCACCCACTCCAGATACTCGATGTAAAGACACTGAACTCTGCCGACGTGGGAAGCGACCACAGCTTGCTACTCACAAAAATCAAAATAAAATTTAAACATCGAAAGAGTCCAGAACACGTAACACAGGAATCTAAAATAAACATCGATTCACTATGGGACCCATCGATAAGGCAACTATATGAAAGGAGACTGAAAGAAAAAATCCAACTAAACAAAATAAAAGAAGAGGATAGTATAAATGCTTCCTGGGAAAAACTGAAGACCAACATTAAAGAAGCCGCATATGAAGCTCTAGGTACCCGAACAGTAAAAATGAATAATAATAACACCAGAACTCCATGGTTCCGCCCAGAAATTAAGGAAAAATGTAAAGAAAAAAAAATAGCGTACCTCACTTACAGGACTTTACGAACACCAGAATCCTACGAAATATATAGACGAATCCGAAACGAAACAACAGCATTAGTAAGACGAACAAAGGACCATCACTGGGAAATTTTTTCAAAGCGAATGGAGGAAGACTTCTATGGACTCCAAAAGCAAATTTGGCGATTTATTAGAACCCAAAGAAAGGAAGTGAACGAACTAGTCGAAACAAATCAGATAACAAAGGAAACCTGGGTTAACTACCTAACCGAATTGTATGAACCAGAGAAACCTGAGATTGAACTGAATACACCCGAAATAGTGACGAATCGCAACGTAGAAATTGAGGTAGCCGACGTAGCTGCAGCTCTTCAAAAACTAAAAAACAGGAAAAGTCCAGGTAAAGATGGTATCCCAAACGAGTTACTTAAATATGGTGGCCCGTGTCTTGCACAGCAGCTAACATCCCTCACTCGGAAAATTCTCTACCAACATAGAATACCCGATGACTGGCGAACTAGCATCACTATCCTTATGTTCAAAAAGGGAGATAAGAAAGTACCCTCAAACTACAGAGGTATAAATCTCTTAAGCACTGCACTGAAACTTACAACAAAAATTATAGCAAACAAAATCAACAACTTAACACCCTTAGCCGACGAACAGCAAGGATTCAGATCGGGCAGATCATGTACAGATGCGGTTTTTATCATAAGACAGATAACAGAAAAATCAATTGAATACAACAGACCGGCATACATGTGTTTTATTGATTTGGAAAAAGCGTTCGATCGAGTGCGATTAAGAGACGTTTTACACCTCCTTTACAACAGACAAACTCCACACAACCTCATCAAAACGATAGTAAATATATATGAAGCAAACCAGATCGAAGCAAAAATAAATGAGATCCTGACTGAACCAATAGCAGTGGGCCGAGGTATCCGACAGGGAGACTCCCTGAGTCCCCTTCTCTTCAACATTATCATGGACGAAGTAATAAGAAATGTACGATTACTGAGAGGATACAGAATGGGCGACCATGAAATCAATATTCTGTGCTATGCTGATGACGCCGTACTGGTGGCTGAAAGTGAAGACGATCTGCAACGACTATTACATCGATTTAACTGCACTGCCAAATCACTTAATATGATAATATCGGCCCAAAAAACTAAATGCATGACAACATCAAAAACACCATTAAGATGCAAATTAGAAGTTACCAGCAGGTAATGAAATTTAAATATTTGGGCATAGAAATCTCGGGTTATGGTGATGTGGAGGCAGAGGTCAGAGAGCAAACAACAAGGGCAACAAGAATAGCAGGATGCTTAAGCGACACAATTTGGCGAAATAAAAACATTAAAATCGAAACCAAATCGAGAATTTACAAGGCAATAGTAAGACCAACCATGACATACACCGCAGAAACCCGACCAGACACAGCGAAAACTAAACAATTACTAGAGACAACCGAAATGAGGATACTTCGTAGAATAACTGGAAAAACGCTCTTGGACAGAGAGAGGAGCGAAAATATAAGACGAACATGCAGGGTGGAAAACGTTAATGCGTGGGTATTGCGTAGAAAGAAAGAATGGAACGAGCATATTAGTAGAATGGACAACAGAAGAATAGTCAGAATTGCACGCGACAAATCACCATTGGGTCGCAGGAGCTTAGGTCGCCCCCGAAAACGATGGAGTGACAACCTGGCAGTGGGATTGGCAGAGACGACGAAAATGAACAGGCAATTTGCCTAGACTAAAGTAGGAAGAAGAAGATAGAAGACGAATATGACTCAAATGAACAAAATACGCAAACCGTGCAAGATTTTAGAAGAGCTGGACGTTTTCAAGATTCTGATGGATTTCGCATCAGAGACGAACTTATATCCGAGAAGGAATTGTCGACTGGCAAGAGATCTCCAAAGAAAAATAGACCATAAATTAAAAATAATTTATAATATATATGTACTTATTTCAAATCGTGTTTTATTATAGCTACATTATTTCTCGAATAAAGAAGTTCATAATAAAGATTAGAAACTCAAAATATAAAAATATATAGTATGAAGTAGAAACCGAAAAAAATATTCGCTGTTTAAATAGCTCTTGTGGAATAATTGCTGGTAAACAAGCTCTAGTGAAATTCCTATCGCATGTAAAAGACACTGATAATGTGCAGACAATTCGAAGCGTTTTCGCCAGTTTTCTGGCAGACGTTACATTATTAAAATTTACAAGTCATTTCGCAGATTTTGATTTAACCATTAAAATAGCATAAATTTGTTTTCAATATGATACTAACCTTCTTTTCTTTTAATTCTTTAGCGATCTTTTTCCAACATTTTTCTTTAATACTAAAATTTGTGTAATTTTTGAAATACATGACGCCATTTTCTACCTTGGTCACTACGATTTCAGCCGCTCGACTGCTTCGCAGCGGTGGAACAGCAGCCGCTGCAGCGCAAGCTGCTGCCGCTGTAGTCACGCTGCGCAAGCCAAATTGGTTCTATTTGAAACTGTACAAACCAGTGCAGCGGCCGGAGACGCAGCTGCTAGCCGCTGCACCGAAATCGCACCTTAACTACGCCGATAATTTTATGCACCTTGCCTTTCCGTTTAAGAACCTGATGTATATATCCGTTACTAAGATACTGAGATACATACATACATTAATAATTTTTTAAAGTAACACAAACATATACTGCGACGTGGCTTCAAATGGCACAACACTTACTGTAGTTGCAAAACTAAATAGGGAAGCTATATTTCTTATAATTGGGAAGATTTATATTCTACCTTTTATTTTTGAACAGATATTGCAATAATAAAAACTAAATAAACGTGATTCTAAGGGAAATCAACCGAACAAACAAACTAAACCCTCACTATTATTGGACATACGTTTATATATTAAAACATAATTTTAATTATAGGTCAAAGCAGTCACGATTTTTTTACTCCGAAATTTAACTTCTGTATAGTGCACCCCATTTATACTTTTAAAATATTATATTGTTATATACAGGATGTCCAACATAACATGATAGAATGGAGGAAAAGCAGCGTATGTATATCCTAAAAAATAATCTAGAATTGGTTTATTTTACGTAGATACAGGGGGCAAAAAAAATTTTGGTCTACTATAATGCACACGGCAAAAGTCAACTTTTGTTTTTCTTATGGGCACCATATTGAATTTCTACATTTTCAAAATCCTC